TGTATGACTTTCTCTCGCTACTTCAACTAGATAAATTGATCTGCTTAAACAATGATATTTATAGTAAAATACCGTGAGCTGAATAAAGTGTTTATGAACCTGAGAAGATATTTGAAGAAAGCCGGAAAGTATAACAATATAAATAATGACAACCAAGATGAGGATAATAATCCGGATCAATCAATGTATAATAAAGACGAAGCTATTAACTCGAATAATACTTTGAATTCCTTGTTTCATTTACTTTTCTAAAATCTACTGACCTTACCACTTTTGGCATCCATCACTCCAAAACACTCACACACTCGTCCAACTAATCCAAATGCCGAAACAAAACGATTTGTTTTTTAAATGATTTTAGACATCAATTTTACAGTCACCATAAATCGCTTCGCTGTTTACGCTGGACAAATAAAAGTTGTTTACATGAGAAGATCCTCCAGTTACTTGAATGAAGAAAAAAAAATGCTTTTAAAACATCATTCCATAACCAGTCCCAGCCGTTAGTTTAATATAAGAAAAATCTCTCTCTTTTCATCGACACATATATATATATATATATATATATATATATATATATAATATATATATATATAGGAAGAGGTTATAGTTGTTCCAACGAGAAAAAAGTGTGTATATTAAAAAGGAGAAACCGCAAACGTTTTTGCTTGTAATATGGATTTTTACATAAATATATTATGCTTTATTTTCCATAATTTTTGCTACACGGGGTTTCGGGTTTCGCGACTTTCATCAAGCAAAGGATGGAGATTTCCATATATTATTAAAATAATTAATTTTTTCTTATGTTTTTCGATGCTAAATATTCTCGATATGAGACATTCTCTTTTTTGTGTGTTAGAGGCCCAAATGCCTTCCTGAATTGGCAGTGAAAAGTTCTGCGTGAAGTGTTATAAACAATTAGGATTGGTCCGAAAAATGGCGAAGGAGTTATCGGCATTTTTATATTTTAATGACCCTTGTGTGTTCTTAGATCTATTTCCATTTTCTTGTGTTTTTGTCAGCATGCGTATGTATATATATATCCCTCCTCCCATACATACATACTATACTGTCTTATTACGAGGAATTGTCATTTGTACACATACACACATATACACACACACACACACACACACACATACACATTTCTATATGTGTAGTGTTCGCGTGAGTTCCGTTGTTTTTGCCAATGTGTATATATATATATCAGCATGTGTATGATATCTAAATACACATACTGTAATCAGTATACACACATACATACAAATACATATACATATACTTCCTCTGTTACAAAGGACAGTATACTCAAAGATACATATATATACATATATATACATATACAGTTTTGTCAATATGTGTATATATATATATTCGTTTTCCACAGACACCTGCATGTAATATCAATTGTGTTGTTGTGTGTTTTTGCGTGTGGGGTTATGATCAATTTAGTTCTGGTTTAAATTTGTTTATATATATATATATATATATATATATATATATATATATATATATATATAAATTCAAATATTAATAAAGTTATATTTGTTAAGTTTACCTTTGACATAAAATAAATTCTAAATGTGAAATAATGTTTTGCGCCAATTTTCAAGGTATGAATCGATTGCCTGCCTGTAAAATCAACATTCAAAACTGTTTTTTTTTATCGGTCACTATGACCATTGGGAAATACGAAACTACCACAACCACAAATAGCAGTAATTTTCATTGCCACAAATGCAAGTTTATTAATTTTTCTCAGACAATTGAAAAATGAGAAATAAAAAGTTCGTGTGAGTCACCTTCATGTACGAAACACTTCAAAAGTCAGTTTATGGATTTCAGAACACAATCAAATAAAATAAAATAAAATAATAGCAAAGTATTGTTGATTACAGACATTATTGGTTGGCCACTGAAATTACAGTCTGGTCAGTATACAACTGGTGACTGTTTTAGTAATTCAGCAAACAAAAAGGGAAGTTAAGATTTCAACTTGACATTTTTCTCCCTGTGACAAATAATACCCGCTAGATTTCTTCAATTATAAATGAAAACATATACGTCATCTCGGAGCATTATGTATGTATCATTTTTTATACTTATATTTTAACTTATGTATCATTTTTTTTATACTTGAGCGATCCCAACCAATGGCGTACAACATATATACTGGAACTCTACATAATAAAAGAAACTAGAAAAGAAAGCAAAACCAGAAAAAAATTACCAAAAGTGGACTGCGACTATATTTCTCGTTTGAATATGATATAAATCCATGATAATTTTCGCTGTAAACCTAAGCTTATTGTTCGACATCCATGTTCATAAGTGGGAATAATACTGTCATTCATAGCACATAATGTAAAAAGTCAGGATTCTTAAATTTATCCAATGAGGTAACTGGCATTAACGACAACTGCTTCACTGCCGGCCAGAAATTTCTTTTGTAGTATGGAAAACTTGTATATCATTTTTCCCTGATACATGTATGGGGTAGTGTATTTTGTACTCAGCTAACCGAATCTTCTATAGTGTTAGCAAATATCGGCACGTGTTGTTTTTTCCATATATCGTTGTCTGCTTCTGGAATAACTCCAGTGAAAGCGTCTGTTAATTTCTTTCATGTACGCTGTCAATTAATCCACTTTCCAGACTAGATCATCTTTGAATGAACACCGTCGGCTTAAATCCAGCTGATCCGTTGAAAAACCATCATTTAATTTGCCCGCCACATCGACTAACGTTTCTACGGATTCATCATCAAAAATATTCCGATTGCTTTGGAACTCTTTTCAATAATATCTGCCATAGAATACTCTCAAGCTGATTATTGAAAAGAATCTTGAGGCATCGGAAAAATTGCGAGGGTTTTCTATTTTCTTAACGCGTCAGTTTTCAAAGATTATTCCAGCCTCTTCCTCTCGGAGAGTAAATTTCTTAACATTATTTCGTCATAAAGTAATTTTTCATGGGATTTTGTTAGTATGTCCCACACATATGCGACTATCTCTTGTAGGATTGATGCAACGACACACGCGAATCCTTTATTTGAGAAGAAATATTTTCATCGTGAATTACTTCTAGTTGTATAAAGTGAAGTTCTGGTTCTTTCACAAAAATAAACGGGAATATTGTCGCAAGCGGATGCTATCAATACATCTTCCATACTGTATGAAGTTTCTTAATAGATTTGTAATTTTTGTCGTTTTTCGGGCCACGTTGAGAAATGAGCAACACGTGATCTGTCTTCGTATCACTCGCTTGTGTAATTCAAGTTTTTTTTTGTTTAAGAGCAGCGAATTTTTTGATAATGATCTGTGAATTGTATTTTCTAGCAGCAGGTGTCAGGGAGAGACGATAGGTTAATGAGATGGCCTGTTAAGAGTGGGAAATAACCGGCAGTATTGCAGATAATAGCGGTCACGTTGATACATGGCCGAACAGGTCTACATTTCTTGTGAGGCAGAAATTAGTCATGAATGTTTCGGTTTGTGTAGCGAGCACATGGAATCAAATTAAATTGAATTGACTTTCGTTTTTGGCGAATTTCGTCTTTTTATTTTATTCTTTTAATAATGTTCATCCTATACAAGGCCAAAGAGTCACTCAATGTAGGGGGTTATAGGAGGCAAATGTAGCGGTAAAAGAAGATATAAGAATCGCATTTTATGATGATAAGGGTGAAAGATAACGATTAACCTTAAGAGTTTAAGATTGTAGTGGTTGGGAAAGCATCCTCTTGGGAGTCAGTTACACGAAGTAGGATTTCGTACGAATAAGTCGTTCGAGTGTAATTTCCTCGTTGCTAATGGAATATGAATATTCGTAATATGAATATGTACGTGGCTTGGTGGGGCCGTAGCTGTTAAGGTCTGAACTGGTGGAATTAAAGAACGTGACTCATCAGAAGATTTTTAATGGAAATAGCAATAGAGTAGCCATAGGCTTGCAGCGTTTTGTCTGTCGGAAAAGAGGTTTGTAGAGTTGGAAATGATTCGTCACACACTAAGTCGCATAGACGCTTTTGAATTGGAAAGTGAAGACTGAGTAGCTCCGGTCCAGCTAAGTCAAAAGTACTCCATTTTCAGTCTTATCTGGCTCTTGCAAAGATGGAGCAGAGCTGGAGGAGTCAGGTATTTATTGGTTCTATGCAAGAAACCAACAATTTTCCAACATCTTTAGTGATAGATAAGTATTAGTACCACAAGCTCTGTGATGAACTTGTCCCAATAGGCTTTAAAGATAAGGAGCCTCCCTGAAAGATAAGGAGCCACCCTGAAAGATAAGGAGCCTCCCTGAAATATAAGGGGCCTCCCTGAAAGAAACACCGTTAATCGTGATAGGCGAAGATTCAGGATCTGCTCGGTGTTGATGGAATGTTACTCACTTGATTTTTTCACATATTGAATGCAACAAGCCAGTTTTCTTCCATTGAGCTGTTACAGCTAAGTCAGTGGAGAGATCAGCTGTCAGGCTCTGGCCATCTATATTTTGGGAGGTGCACACATATACTACACTGCATAGATATTTACTAAAGATTGGGGTAGAAATGTTTTAACTTTCCACGCATGAATACTAGAATTTAGCTGAAAAGATTTAGAGAAAAAGGTACATTTCTTTAACAAATAAGTATCCTATCTACTGATCGGCAAGAGATGAGTGTTTCCTCGTTAGATCCTGTGACCCTACGCAAAGGCAAAAGAAAAGAGAAGATATACTTAAGGGTTTTTAAGTGTCAGTCGGCTACTGCTGTTCCGCTGTATATCCGCTACAACCAATCATCTATGTCTCCTGCTGCTATTGGGCTATAAAGTTACGATAATAGCATCATTGCGCTTTCTATGAAATCTAATAATAGAATTTGCGGTTAAAATTGCCTGGGTACTAAGGTATTCGTGCATTTCTTGCCAAAGCCAGTGAAAGGTGTCCAAGTTCAGGTAAAAGCCTAACCAATCTTAGTAAATGCCAATATATATTAACCGAATTATCTTTCTTTAATCGAAATCGAAACAACTGAATGAGAAATGAGCAAAATGAGATAGATAGATAGATAGATAGATAGATAGATAGATAGATAGATAGAAAGAAGGAAAGAACATATTGAGATAGATAGGAAGAAAGAAAGAACAGATACTAAAGAAAGAATACATTTAGATATATAGATAAAAAGAACATATTTAGATAGATCGATCGAACATAGATAGATAGAACATATTTAGATAAATAGATAGACAGACATACATACACACACACACACATATATATATATATATATATATATATATATATATATATATACATAAAACAGATTTAGAGAGATCGATAGAAAGAACATATTTAGATAGAACATATTGAGATTGATACAAGAAACATACTGAGATAGATAGATAGATAGATAGATAGATAGATAGATAGATAGATAGATAGATAGACAGATAGATAGATAGATTGAGATGGCTATATAGATAAAGAAAGAACTTACATAAAGAAAAAAGATAAACATTTTGAGATTGATATATACAACAGAATGAGATAGCTATAATAACTTGGGAAAAGGCCAGAACTCTAAACTGCCCCCTCTCTCGCCCTCGTCCTCTCCCTGTCTCTCCCTCTCGTTCTTCCTCTTACATTCTTTTTTCGTCTGACACCAATTTTCTTCTTCCCTAATTCTGAGAATATATATATATATATATATATATATATATATATATATATATATATATATATATATATATATATAATTATTTATTCGAAAATTATAACATCACTATGTTATAAAATCACTACAAAAACAGCCATTTTATTTTATACTTGGGTATGCATATATATATATATATATATATATATTGTGTATATTTAGGCATCAATATGGTGATTTCCTTTCGTCTTTCAATGATAATGTTATTAAGCTTATCAGACAATATGAGAGGAACTTACTTAAAATAAATAGACAAAACTTGTCCATATTATTCAATGAAACATGCATTAATATATATATATATAATTTTTATTTGAAGTGATGGGCGCCTGATCCTAAGAAATAAATTATCATCTCAATGGATTTCTAAGGGCTTTGATTTTTATATATATATATATATATATATATATATATATATATATATATATATATATATATATACGTGCGTTTGTGGGGGGATTTTGAAACAAAGTGGAAAACTTTTACGGACAACGCATTTTGCCTTTGTCTTGTTGGTGTCTTCGATTCGGAATGAAATTTGAGAGAGAGCTAATGAATATCTGATATTACGGCCAGCTATTTAGTTTCTGTTTTGAAGCCGTTAAAGTCTTCTGGATTTGAAATTATAACACTCTGAGTCGATGTTTGTCTCTCTATTATTTCATATACCAGATTGTGCTACAAGTTCTTTTACGATGATCCTGTTGATATTGTGTATAAACCCGGTCAGTGATATACATCAGTGAAACATCTTGAAATCGAGAAAGACGGATAATATATGAACAAAATGTCGAAAGTCCAAAAGTGATTAACTTTTAATTTAAATGCAAGAATGAACTCACGACCGATGTTTGCAGTAAAATATTCGTGTTGGCCTTTTAGAAATGATTAAATAAACCCCAAGAAGGAAATTTGCACTTACCTGTGACTTTTGGAGTGCTTTCTGAATTTATGCTGATTGAATTCCTGTAAAGAGAGTAATGCCTGAGGTTCTGCAGATATTCCTTGTGCCCTCACTTTCCGAGGTCCACCGCCACTAGCCACCACGGCCAGTGACGAAGACAACGGAAGAACGGATTGATATTTATCCAATTGACTGCGAAGTTCCTCAATCAACTCGTCTTTCTCTTGTAATGTTTGACTCAGCTCCTCGATAAGAATTTCTTTCTCCAAGAGAGCTTTCTCCAACTCCTGCATAGTACTAGCCATGGTTTCCAAAATAATCCTTCCTTTTCCTTTTTATAAAATAGATTTCAGCTCCGTGTTATTTTATGAAAATATTAGACTTTTGGTAATTTTATCTTAACAGATCTGGAACTAAAAAAACTTTTGGTTAAAATTTCCTTGCTTTGTTTCTTTATCTTTTGATATAACTGTTCCCTGCACAAGAGATCCAAAAGTAGTGTTTTTCTTTTTGCTCGTATCTGTAATCCGGCTTATGGCGTTCGGCGGGACTGTTTTATAGCTTTCAGACACAAATAAGAATGTTGATACAACTGACCGCTTGCAGGCGTAAATGTCGATGGTTTTATTTGAAGATCATTGCGTTATTTATTTAAAGCTCCGATAGCTCCAGACCGAATGGCCCAAGAAATCCACTTAACCACCGCCATAGCTGAAGCTTGTACACTTTCTCTTGCTTAGCCAGTTGATTTCTATTCACAGATATGCCAACCATTTTACTGACAACAAAGGAAGTCGAGTAGTCCGGAAAATTCATCAAAGTAGGCAACAAAATCGAGTTCTTGTAGGTGGGCGTCAATCTTATAATGCTATGACGACGTGGCAGAAAACTGTACAAATTAGTGACAGGCAATGAAATAAAGAATATTTTCTTTTAAAATAAGTGTCTATTTTTATAAAAAAAAAAAAAAAAAAACTATTCATATGGACATTCTTCTGTTGGTTAGTTTGGGAGTTATGATTAATTAACTCTTTTTTCTTTTCCCGTTGATTGTATCATAGAATAAAAGAAATTCTATCGATATTTACATGTGAATATTTTTCGTTTTGTTTCAATGTGAAAATTTGAATACTTTAAGAAATGTTTTCTCTCTTCAAGAGGTTAATATAATTTTACTTTTTGCAAATGAATATATATTTTTTAAATTTCCGAAACTTTAATTAAATAACCCAGATAGAAATATTTAGGAGAAATTCTATCAATTCATTAATTTTACATATTTTGAATTCTTTTTTGAATCTTAAATATGAATTATATTTTGTAATTATTGAAATTAATAGTTTTTTTTTTTAATTTGTAAAATTATTTTTGTAGCATTTTTAATTTGAAGTAATATTTCCTGATCCTGAATTAGTCAACCTATGAAACATGTTCTACTTTATATTCTTCGTTATATTTCTTTAGCTGTTCGATGATAAATATCCTACAATAATTCAAATATGACTATCAGTCTGAGACTAAAAGTAATTAGAAAGAAAGATAAAAGGATTTGTTTATTGGTTTCCACCTTCTTTTCATAAACTGTTGTGTCCACGTCTGTCGTCGCCTTGAATTCATCTCTGAAAAAAAAAGTAATACCAATTAGTACATTGACTTTTTATTTATGTTTAACAAAAGTAATTTGAATAAAGAAAAACATATTAAAGTCATTCTCTTCATTTGCTTTATTTTTCAACCTTCTCCTCTTATTTGCTTCGTTACTTTTTTCTTTCTTATTTATCATTCTTTATCTTAATTTTCCTGATACCATGCTCTTTTTATATTCTCCTTCTTTGCTATCCTTCAAAATATATTATGCGACTTTTCTTTAAAGAAGTCAGAATTAAAGTAGTGATAAAGAACCTCGCCAGGTAGCAATGTTTGGCTTTCATATCATTATCCGTTATATATATATATATATATATATATATATATATATATATATATATATATATATATATATATATAGGTAATAATCCGTTAGTATATAATTCAAGTGAATCCTAATAATATAAAATGTTAAAACTGATCAACAAACAGAGCTCAATGTATTTGTTCTAACAGAGCATATAAATTACATACAATAGGAATTAAAAATTGTTCATGGTTATGATCATTTCACCATAACTAGTTAAGATTAACTTGCACGGATTTTCAAACCGATCAAGGTAATAAAATTAAATAAAATGAAACCAGAGATAAAGCAAATTTTAACAAGGCAGAGGAAAAGAAGGAAAGAAAAACGGAAAAAGAAAAAGAAATAGTGAAAAGACAAGATAGGAATAGAAAGAAAGAGAGAAATGGTAACGAAAGTGTAGTTACATCTAGACATGGGGATATCGGCAGGAGATCGATATATGTAGATGTGACCTTGACTTATATTAGAATATTCACCTAGGTTTATATCAAGAAAGTAGACATCGGAAATTCACTATTACTTCAATATTAAGAGATATAATATATATATATATATATATATATATATATATATATATATATAAAAGAAAATGTATATAAAAATTATTTCAAAATCATTTATCTATTAAAAAACATATTGTTTTGATTTTTTTTACTTTTTAGGAAATGTACTATTTAATATTCATTTTATATTAAAAATATCATATATTAACATATATTAATGAAACTATTACCGTCTGTAAGGAAATAAAAAATAAAAAGAAGAGTTTTTATTTTATATTAAAAAATAATAATTGAGGAAGAGTAAATGAAAAGAAACATCTGGACTGAAAATTACAAAGATTATGCGTATAAAGCAGTGCGTATAAAATAATGGAGAAAAAAAATATTATAATCGAGTTATTAAATAAAAGGAAATATATAAAATATAATTTTATAAGTAATAAGTACAAACCGATAATTAAAAAAAAGAAACAATATAAAGAGAGTTATAATAATAAAATGTTAGTAATATATAGAATTATTATATTACGTGAATTATTATATCATTATTAAATAACATTATTATTATATTATATTAAATAATATCATTATTATTAATTATTATTAAATGTTATTACATTAAAATTACTATATAAAATACCTCGTTAACATTATCATTATATTATTAAATGATATATCATTATATTAAACAATATATTATATATCAATATATCATACATCAATACAGTATATTATATATTAATATATCAACATAAATACACCACATATATATTAAATAAATCTATTATATATCAATTATTAAATAATAGTATTATATTAAATAAAATTACTATATTAAATAATACCATTATTAAATATTATTATTAAATATTTTAAATAACTACAATCAATAACATTATTATCTTATTATTAAATAATATGACTATATTATACAAATTATTATATTATTATATAATACTAATATTATATATAGAGAAACAATATATAAGAGAAAGTAATTACAAATATATATATTAAAAATAAACCCTTTAAAAAATGCCATTTGAAAAACATTTTTAAAAACATATAGAAATAAATTAAGAATAGTAATAAATTAAGAGAAATATTTTAAATAAATTAAATAAAATAATAACCATGAAAATAAATAGAAATATAATTAATTATATAAGTATAGAGTAATAATGTCAAATCTAAAGTTAAATATAAATAAATCTAAAAACAAATAAATGATAAAAAAATGATAAAGGACCCTTAAAGTAAGAACACAAATAGAAAAGGAAAACAAGCTGACGTAGACAAAACCCGTACCCATCAGTGGCTATGTAGTGCAGGGTTGAAAGCGGAAACTGAAGGTTTTATCCTTGCTGCGCAGGACCAATGCTTGCTAACTAGGAATTATCAGGCACATATACTAAAATATTGTGTCAGCCCAAAATGCAGATTCTATGATAAGTATCCAGAAACGATTGATCATCTTGTATCAGGTTGCACGGTTTTGGCACCCACTGAATATAAAACCCGACATGACAGACTGGGCCAACATCTGCACTGGAAAATCTGCAACTTCTACGGGAAAGAAACTGAAAGAAACTGGTATGAACACCACCCAGACCCGGTTACGAAGATAGGACCTGTTACAATTCTATGGGACTACACAATACACACTGACAGAACAATCAAGGCCAATCGGCCAGATATTGTTATTAAAGATCACAAACAAAAACGGTGCCTCCTTATTGACATGGCAGTCCCTGCTGACTGCAATGTATCTTTGAAGATATTCAAAAAGTTGTTAAAATACAAGGACCTTGAAATAGAAATCTCGAAAATGTGGCATATGGGAACATCAACAATCCCTGTTGTAGTTGGAGCCCTAGGACTGGTTGGAAAAGATTGCAATAGACTAATTGAAGGGATTCCTGGAAGTCCATGCCTCAAGGAGATACAAAAAATTGTTCTGACAAGTACAGCCCACACCTTACGAAGGGCTTTATCTATGTAATTTAATTTTTTTTTTTTTTTTTTTTGTCAGTGGAAAGTGTCATGACGCCATTTCTAACCTTAGGTCCATGGGCGGGACCCGAAAAGAAATGTGTAAACGCCAGAAATCAAAGATAATAATAATAATAATAATAATAATAATAATAATAATATGGGAACTGGGGCATGATGAAGCTTATAAGTACCTAAGAATTAGCGAAGGAGATGGCATACAACACCACCAAATGAAGGAAAAATAACAAAAGAGTACTACAGGCGTGTACGTCTGGTACTAAATACTGAGCTAAACTCAAAAAACAGAATATCAGCCATAAACACATTGGCTATCCCTGTGCTGCAATACAGCTTTAATGTCCTTAACTGGACCATAGCTGAAATTAAGCGAATGGACGCCAAAATGAGAAAGCTTCTCACTGGCTACCGCATGCATCATCCCAAAGCTGATGTTGTTCGTCTGTATGTGCCCAAATCCGAAGGAGGCAGAGGATTAGTTCAACTAGAACTGTCCTACAAAACTACAACAATTGACCTCCAAAGATACTTGGAAACTACAGAAGACTGGATGATGGTATGCGTCAAGGAACATGAAAGTAGTAAGCGTCTTTACTCCGTAATAAAAGAAGCCAACAAATACAAAATGGAGTTTCAAATGGGCGTAGAGATGCAACTACAGCACAATACACCGACTGAAACTGCAAAATACTTAAAAAGACAGCAAAGACGAATGCAACCGACCAGATACAGAAGCGACGGCAAGATAAACCACTTCATGGCCAATACTCTGGCCGTACCAAACAAGCTGACGTAGACAAAACCCGTACCTATCAGTGGCTACGCAGTGCAGGGTTGAAAGCGGAAACTGAAGGTTTTATCCTTGCTGCGCAGGACCAATGCTTGCTAACTAGGAATTATCAAGCACATATACTAAAATATTGTGTCAGCCCAAAATGCAGATTTTGTGATAAATATCCAGAAAAGATTGATCATCTTGTATCAGGTTGAACGATATTGGCACCCACTGAATATAAAATCCGGCATGACAGAGTGGGCCAGTATCTTCACTGGAAAATCTGTAACTTCCTACGGGAAGGAAACTGAAAGGAAATGGTATGAATACCACCCAGATCCGGTTACGGAGATAGGACCTGTTAATTGTCGAATTTAATTATAATTTAATGATTCTAATTTTCTCTTGGAAACCCAGATTACATCTTCCTGTACAATTACTAAGAGAGTAAACAAATTTTCCAGTCAATCTATCTATCCTTCGATTCACAAAATGTTTTGGAAAGAGCAGTTTGGAATTTTAATTTTGGGTTGGAAAAAGATTGCCTATGGGTATAAACTCGTTGTTTCCATTCATCTGCGGAAATCTCAATGCAAATACGGTGGTTGATCTTATTTTCTTTGAGGTAAACGATTGCTTGGTAAATCACATTCGAAGCTTTGCATTTTCCTTCGACTGGACAAAGTTCAATATTTCTACAATTATATGGGAGATCCATATCTGAAATATTGTCGATACCATAAAATTTTATTTGTTGTGGGAATCTATAATTTTATACATATTATTTGTACAGGAATAACTTATTTTGATAGATTTTCTTTTGAAGATTTTACTTAGGTGGTGGCTAGATTGGAAATGTTTATTTATAAGCTTCAAAAATCTTGTCCGGTGTTAATTTTGTATATACTACAGAAGTGGGTGTTTAACCATATTATATTCCATTTTCTGTTTTTATGCTTGCAGGTCATTTTATCCACCTTAGTGTTACTTTGGGGGTTCAAGTATGTTTATTTTTAAAGCTAATTTTTTGGAGTGCATTTTGGAATACAATTATTTTTTTTTATTAAAGATATAGTAATTAGATGAACTAATTCTAGACAATACCGTAATTGGTATCTGCTTCAAAATAGTATCGGCGTGTTTCGAGTCAACATTATTGTAGTTATAAGGTTCATATACTTTATGGTATATATATATAGGAAATGGATTAAATAAAACATATTGTTATTTTAATTTACTTTAAACGCCATTTTTATGCATACTCATATTCGAGTAGAAGCTCTCTTTTTAATTTAACAATATTTTTATCCAACTCAGGCCGGTAGATGTAGTTGGATAAAATATACTGTTAAATTAAAAACAGAGTTTTTGAGATATGAGTATTCATAAAAAAAATAACGTTTAAACAAAATAAATTAAAATAGCGATATATATATATATATATATATATATATATATATATATATATATTTCATTGTTTTCTTACTGTTGTGAATCCGATATTCACCAAGTGTTTTTTTTTTGCGATTGAAGATTATTAAATATAAACTCTTACCTCGAAGCAGTGATTAGTAAGCATGCCTTGACCCTTAATAGAAAAGTTACTTAAATATTAAATTTTACGAGGGTTTTCGAAAATCCCTACAAGATAATACTCAATAATAGACGATTTGGGGGGGGGGGGAACCTGATGAAAGATTAATAGAATTAATTTAATACAAAGAGCTTGCATATCAATGTTAACGCTGGAATCAACGTTTCTGTGAGGGAGACTATTAAATTGTCGATTCAAAACGTAGCACGTTAGATCACTGATATGAAAAATGTACATTTTTCGAATGTTTTCTAATTTCTTGACAAAATATTTTAGCCATTTATTTTATTGAAAAATCTGGCATGTCTTATGTCAGGGTTTATCCTTCAAACTGGAATGTCAGCAATGTAGATACTTCAGTTGTTGACCGGTGAAATATTCGAGTTGATGGAAAAAGGTTTTCTTCGTCGCTTGATGACGTGTATTTCTGTGACCAAGCGACAAATGAGGAGAAATGCTGGGAATATTGGGGCTTTTAATAAATTTTTCAACTGACGAGATGCAAAACAAAGAATCTACCGATCCTAAG